GATATGAATATTTATATAGGTAATAATGCAACTACTCTTTTATACAAGGTGTTCCTTGGTGACATGGTAATATTCAAGGGGGCGATTGTTGGACCCATTTCAAGAATAAAAGTTCATATGAACGTTTGTCGTGAACGTCCTAACTTTTGAGATACATAGTGTATCAAAGTTGAACACATACAAAGATTCTTTTTTTTGTCCACTCTGTATAGCTTTTCCTGATAACCAAATTTATTCTGCCATGTGACTGAAACGGTACAAAAATTTCGACATATAACACACTGTGGTAATGGATGTCCTGAATGGCGTACTCAAGCTTAGCATTTACATCAAAATTTGAAGTCTGATCTCGTTTTTTCGTTTTTTCTCTTGAACCGGAGCGTCCTATCGGGTATCAACAAGAGGATCTTTTTTGTCCAAAATACAATGACTTCTTTATAGCATTTAATTTTTGGAAATATTCCTTCGTTGCACAATTTCAAGTATTATATAATCAATCATATCCCCTCAACGGTGCCACTGGTAGGGAAAAAGGAAATTCGTATACATCGAAAAATGCACCTTGATGCATAGAAGATATGTACCAAATTTCATAAAGATGTCTACAATATTATCCCAATTATTATTGAAAAACTGATTTCTTTTCAAAACTTCATCGCCTGTATCTCAAGAGTAAAGATTTTTAAAACATACGTTAGTAGAAAGTTTTTTTCTTGAAATGAGTTGAACAATCATCCCCTTGAATATCAGCATGTCTTTTAGGAACACCCTGTATATACTACTGCATAATAAATACTACATGGGTACAGTTTGGGACCCTCAGATTATCTCCCTACCTGTACGAACCATTCAACTGTCAAACAATGAAGTAATAGTATTTGCAGAATCCTAAGCTGTATGGAATTTTGCTTTATGCTAGCTTAGAACTAAATTGCTTGATGAAATTATCGTGGACTACAATTTTTGACAATCTACACACTGCCTTATTCTGGATTCTATTTCAAAGAGTCAAAGTTATCACCTGCTCGGTTCAAGATCACTTTGCAACGAATGGAATTCTTGACCAAAGGCCACCTATACTTGTGCATGTGGCATCAAGACCTCCTATTGGCTAATCCGTGCTACGCGCATCGAAATAAAATTGTATTTATTGGCTCAATTGCATGATACACGTGGCTGTTAAGATAGTCATTGGTTCAAGAGTGATTCAGATGTATTCATCATCCAATTTGATCTGTGTGCTTGTTCAACGTACTTATGACCATTGCCCATTAACTGAATATTGTTCTTCCAAGGGTTCTAAATGACGTTATCATATATTTGTTCGAATAAAAATCAAAGTAGGTAAACAGTGATATTTTCGACCCAATACTCTTCAAGAGTCCTGTACTGTGAGGAAAATTACGCATTGCACAATATCTGGGTTTCGCCTGTCAGAAAGGAATTTATTCTCGACCATGCAGATGTTTGTCCAACACGAGTAGGGTGGTATTCCACGCTCTGCTTGTTTGTTTTTCCTGAATGCCAGCCCCGTCTAACGCTGGGAATGATATGTATTTTTCACTATTTGAACTGTTAAATAGGCAAACAGGCCATTGTTTCGCTACCATACAGTATTGCGTTTCTGTTCTGATATACATGGAACGGAAATAAAATAATTCGAAAACATTTGAATATCCTTCGATGTCTCGAGACTCTGTTGGAGTAAAGATTAGTTAACGATATTCCGTTGTTATTTCATTTTATCTCATTGTTTTTAGTTGATTTTAGTTGAGTCAAGTTCATGAAATGAGGTGTTATTTATTCTTGAAGCGTATGAAAGAAAATTTCTTTAATGTTGGAAGAACATCGTGCGTACCTAGGGAGAATCTATTGAAATCTATTGAAAATCGTTACTACATAACATTTTTGACTGGGGTTGAGAATTTTTTTAGTTCCTCCCAGAAAACTCCAAGCTTTCCACACTTCATTAACGAAAGTAAGTTTCTTATATTTTTGACAAGTGAACAAATCATATAATGCCCTAGAAATTGAAATCATCCTTGGATATCTTGGGTTGGCATGGAAATTTTCTTCTAATAATATGAAACTCGTCAATATTATTAGTTTTTCGAATTTTAAACAATCATTTTTCCAATTTTCAACTATTATAGTATCTTGAAAATAGTTACACATCCTCCTAGGGCACATGATATAAGAAAACTTAAAATTTCTAGTAGAATTGCAGAAGGTACGGATATACAGGGTGTTGCCTTGAAGTTTTATGCGAAATATACCCCTTATTTTTATGATTTTACCATTGTGATCAGCAGAAATGCTAATAGTTTGCTAGCGCTATTGATTGTAAATCAAACTCAAATCATGATTCATCGATTGAAAAATTTTTGGGTGGATTTGATTCCTCAGTGGTCTTCCCCATTCAACCGCTGTCTGAGTTTCAGAATTATAGAAGTTACCAAGGACGAACACTCAATTAGAATAACCCTGTATAAGTGGAAACGGCATCAACGTCACTCAAGTGTTAGTCAAATCGTGTTTCACCTCTGTGTGAGCTTTCAAATGATTTCTTGATCCTAAGAAAACGGTAGAAAATATGTTTGCAATGGTGTTTCAAGACTTCCACGGATAAATAGAGATTTGAATATACATAGAAAGCTACCCCATTACTGGAATCGACTTCAAAATTTTTGTGAGTAAGTCACACTCTACACTCTTGGGAAGCCTTCAACCTTTTCAAAAATGGCCATACTCACTCTGATACGATGTCCCAAATGGAACTAAGAATATCAAGCAAGCCAAACTCCAAGGGTAGATTCAATTGGTGCGATTCTGAGTTGAGAAGTTCTTATGAACTTACATCCTCAAGATATACAGTGGTGCTTCACTTCTTTTTGAACTCGTTTTTCGTGAATTTGATCATAGCTAAATTAGCCCCTACTACGAATAATGCTGTCAAAGTTTAACTGAATTGAATAAAATACTCTCACGATATCTACGGAAAACCGATTTTTTTTGCATTTCTATATCTATGTTCACCTGAACTTGTCATTCACCCCATGCAGTTTGACTACATACTTCTATAACACCTTGTACAATAAGGATTCGTTGCAGATCGATGACACCCATCTACAGCATGCTAATATTCATTATGCAATTCAAATTAGGGCAAGACTCAACGAGGACTTGATTAACGCGCCCGAAACACATTGCAGCAAGCCAATTCCCCCTACCTTTCACCCCTGTTCCCCCACTAGACGCGTTTTCGCCACCATGATGAGGAGACGACAGCGAAAGTACGCGAAAATATGTAGGAGGAGGAGGTCCCTCCCTCCTCGCGGAGAAATTAAATATTCATTCGGGGCTTTAATTTAGATTCGATGAGAGTATACGGCCCTGGTCAATGGTCATGGACATGGTCGAAAAACTGAGAATGGATATTATTGAAGTTTGATCTGAATAAATGCGATGTCGAAGTGGAATCCACACTGAGGAGATTTATGAATCGTTTTTTATGTTCTTTTTCCCACGAAAAGGGACATCCTTTAATGTTCAGAGAACATCGTGAGAACCAAGGGAAATGAGGTAGGAGTTGGTGTTCTTCTTAAATTTCTGGAGGTTATATGCCTCAAGGAACACCTCCCTTGGCATTCTGTTCCACAGCCTCGCTGTTCGTTGAATGACCGAGTCTTCGGAAAGAGATGTTCTGCAGGTCTCCAAAGTGACCACGAAGGGGTGCGAAGCCTCAACTCAACGGGTTAATCTTGCGGGGACTGCCAAGAAAGGAACAAGGGTTGATATTTCAGAAGAGCATCGTCCATGAGAATATCTATAGAATAGAGCCAGATCGCCAACTTTTCTACGGTGTTCCAGAGAAGTGAGTGAGTTTGTGAGCGAGGCATCACCCACGAGACGAATTGCCCTTTTTTGGACAGAATCCAACAGTTTCAGGGTATGTTTGGGTGCTGCACTCCAAATATGGGTACAGTATTTCAGGACAGGTCGAATCTGTGCCTTATAGATCATAAGCAGCTGACTGGAAGTGAAATAGTTCCTGGCTCGAAACAGAAAACCAAGTTTTTGGGATGCACTTTTCCCAAGAAAGATTAATACTGATAGTAATACCAAGCATCGAAATGGATGTCTTCAAAGGTATGGTTAGTCCTGACAAGCTTATGTTTTGCACAGTGAGATCGGCTTTTCTATAGAAAAGGCAATTCGTCGAGAAAAATCAGCTCTCTCCGAATGTGCCAGATAATTCGATAACGTCATCACTTCAGTTCCCAAATATGTCAAAATATGCAAATTTGGTCCAAAAGAGTACGCTGTGTCCATGCACCTAGTTCTTATTAGTGGTACATTTCGATTCCAATAAAAAAATCAGGTATCAGGCTCCATTTCATTCAAACAGATCTTCCAGGCTCCATTTTGAAAGATACATATAACCTACCATTGGAACAGAAATAAAAAGAATTCCAGCTGTTCAGAAGTTATCTATGGGAATAGGTTTCTAACGTTCCTCATGATATTTAATAACTCCTTACCAGATTTCTCGAGTTTCGGTCACACAGTACAATCAACCGAAATGAATTCAGCAAATTAAAATTTTCACGACAAACTCGCCTGTAACTGAAAATTAAATTCAGTATCCCATTGTGATTCGGATGAATATAAAGCTCGAAGGTTTTATGGTTCGAAACTGATATTTGAATCATTTCATGGATATTCATGCACACAACTTTTAATCATAATATTTCATCGATGCCTAAAATTCTGACTCATTTTATATCGATCCAAAGTTCAGTAAGTGTAGTTGTTAGAACAGCTTTATGATTGTCAAATATACCAGGTGTCCAGGAAAACCAGAAGAATAGATGACACATTTTCTTAAATCGCATTTCGAATTTTGTTTCCCAATGAAGCACCACTATTTATATTAACTAAATATAATACGATGTAAAAACGTAACAACTAGTTGTAGTAATATACTACTTTTGTTTCTTCGACCATCTCCTGTAGGTGAGCTCTACACACCATATAATGAAAAACAGAAAATTAACTGTCGCATACGTATATATCACCGCTGCGTCACTTTGCAAAGCATCCTTTACCATATCTGAAACAGAAAAATCGACTTCAGGCTATTTTCTGATAATGGGGTCCATATTGAAAGAGATAATTCTATGACAGGAATGGGAGATGAACAAATATGTTTCCCAAGTGGCTCCGTTACCCAAACACAAAATCAAAATGGCAATAATAATCACTCTGTATGAGATTCCATCATGTAAAAATTCAGTCTGATTAGTGACTGACAAAAATTCGATTTTTCTTAATTATCACAACTACGAATTCATCAGATCAGTTTATATTTATTCCATCTGAAACATTAGGTTCGTTTGTGTTGATAGATATGTTCAGAGCACGTGTAGCAGGAATGCGTATATGTTCTTTTGTGTCGAACATTTGATCTAAATGTGTATGTTTGTGTATTGGAGCAAATTGCTGTAGATAAAAAAGATCAAGCTGAATCTACTCGGCCAAAAATGGACGAGCAAGAAAAGCAGATCAGTTTAGTCGGTTATCATAACCTGAAAAAACAGCCAATTGATTTGAAAACTACAAAAATATCGAATATGTCAGGAGTTTCACCAATTGATATCGTTTTCGACGCATAAGTGAACGACGTAATGAATAGGTACCTAATGCAAATTATTTATCACGAATGCAATAAGGAGAAGAATATGTATTATTTTGGAAATCATGCATTATTGTTCTTTCATGCAGAGGGTGGTCTAGTGGAAATGGTGAAAAATCTCATCATAAGTATTACTCGACTTTTGATCTTTGTACATTGTATGTCATATTCTGAATTCTCATAATTGATTATCAACCTAAAAACTATTTGAGGCTAAGTTCGAGTAGCCAATGCACTTTGCATTTGCATTTTGTTTGCCCAAATATACAACAATCTGCTTTGTGACGTCATCGATCCGATTTGATCGGCCTGCTCTTAGCATAGCCAAGGACACAAATGGACAGACCTAATATTATCAACTTGTATTGGGACATTCAGAGTATACCAATGTTCATGGGAACTATTTTGCAAAAATTGTTCCACAACTCACCTCTTGCATCCAATTATTAGGCATATCACCTTGTGTCTTTCCAGAACTTTGAGAAAGTGTTCAATAATTTTTATATTGTTCAATATCGATTTTTTTTTGTGTTACAAACTTCTCATGGATATGATAAGTCGGAAACTTCAGAGGGAAATATTACTTGAAATGCAACCTTAGGAAGACTTCAAATCCTCATTTGAATGGTTTCAAATTCACCGAATCGAGTTGAGGGTACGAAGTAATAATTAGTGGCTGCATACAAGATATCAAAAATATATCCTAGTGGTTTTTACTTCTTCGAATGAGATACTCACTGACTATCCTTCCGAATATCAAGCTGATGATACCTGTCGTGATCATATAAATTGAATAGGCCATAGGAAATTCTTCCTTGTATTCTTCCGATATGACCATTGGTAATGGTGTTTCCAAGAAACCTCTTGAGAAGCCGGCTAAACATATGCTGCATAGTTTCCATGTATAATTATCATTCACCATGAAAGCTACAAAAACAAGGAAGAGAACATATGGTTGAACAATAGAATGGGCGAGAGGACTTAATATAATGAATTATTGGCATTCAATTCTCACACTCTCTTTATGTAAATAATGAGTGCATGCGTTGTTCAAAATTGTTGCATTTTGGAGCTCATTTCAAACCACCATTTGGTGATACGTCGAATAAACGGTGACGTCAGCTTTTATGCTGTTTCTCTTTGGTCAGATAATCTTCCACTAACGAAGCAAGGTTGTCAAGTCACCAATTATAATCGAGTTATCAAAAAGATGTAAGAGTTTTGTCGTTGAATAAAACATAATAGGAGGAACCCATGATATTTCTTATTCTCCATAATGAAATATCATGTGAATGTTGGAGACTTGGCAACATTTTTCTGAATGCTGAGATATGATAAAACCTCGCCCACAAGTCGTGCGCATTGTTTTCATGTTCACCGATTTAAATGTCCTCTGATGTGAATTAATATAACTATTATTCACATTAATTCATTATGAACAATAAGCCACAAATCATGAGGGAAGATTTTGAAACAATTGATATTTTTTTTGTTATTAGGAATATCACCAATACTCAATTGAAAATTTATGAATCACACAAAAAAATGGAATTGGCAGTTATTCGAGTGATGATTCTATTTAAGAAATGAAATGGAATTAGTCCACTCGTCTGTGAACACATATTCGTGTGTCTGAATAGCAAACATGTCAGGAACTATCCCTAGACGAAATCTCTTGGAAACCTCTAGGAAACCATCCTGACCTCCCTCCTCAGGGAAGAGGAATGAGGTTCAAGAGGTTCTCCATCGTTTTTTGGTAATCGATAGCACTATATCTCAAGCAGATATTCAATATTACAATAGACGGAATCTGAAATGCTGATCAATTGAACAAGTACATTTTCGCATTATAATTCTAGGTGGAACTATATAAGGAATGACTACCAGATTGCTGATGAAAAAGTATGACCTGACCTCCCTCCTCAGGGAAGAGGAATGAGGTTCAAGAGGTTCTCCATCGTTTTTTGGTAATCGATAGCACTATCTCAAGCAGATATTCAATATTTCAATAGACTGGATCTGAAATGCTGATCAATTGAACAAGTACATTTTCGCATTATAATTCTAGATGAAACTATATAAGGAATGACTACCAGATTGCTGATGAAAAAGTATGGTAACATCTCCTTGAACAGAAAGACGAGTGGTCAAATATTGGTAAAATCCCTAAGCTTTTATTCAGATCAAAAATTTTTCAGAAATCTTTCAATGTTAGTGTAAATAATCATCATTATACTAATTTGACTACTTTTTATCATCTATGTGTTATCGCTTACATAATACACACACATTTCAATAGAAATTTCAGATGTCCTTCAATACTCACCCACCCTTCCGATATTGGAAAATATCATGCCGAACATGAATAAATATCTGTTGTTCAAGCGGAAGAAACAACCCAGAATGGTGTAAATGATTCTGGCTGTCAGATCAGAAAAGTGGAAGGAAGTGAGCGCTACCACGATGTGCGACTGTTCTATGTTGATGGTGCTCAGCAAGGTTCCAATCAGTTCGAAGAACACGATATCAAAGTTGTACGTTATGCCCAAGCCGAGTATGATGCTCATATACTTCGGATCTTTGTAGAACTTGAAGCCCATCGTGTTTCTGAAAGTAGGAAATTCACAAACAGATTTCTAATTCCCGACTTTAACACTTTAATATGATGCGCATTGCTGAGTGAATTCATGAAACTCTTTGCCATTGAAATGGTGGTTTTGTAATTGTTGGCATTGGAAAAGTAATAGGGAACGCATCAGCGTAGCAAACTACTTTTTCTACAACTGCTATGAAAAGCAGCGTATTTTTCATAGCTTACTCAATTTCAAAACCATGTATTGCTCATACTGTGAGGAATATTTTTTTCTGTGACAGGAAAAAAGTTCGACATTTCATCTCTGTTAAAAGGTTTGAAATGCCACTTTTCATGAATTACTTTTTCCCCAGGGGAAAAAAGTGAGTACTTTCTTCCCGGATATATATACTTATACACTGCTGATGGCTTTTGTATAGTGCTAGTTCTGAAAAATAAGCCAATAACACCGTCTCCGAGAAAGAACTGCAAGTCCTTTTATCTTCCCATTCCACTTCGCGGTTACGTATATCATTCAAACAACCACTGAGTACGCAATTTATTGATCTCAAATCACAGAATATGACTGGCAGATATTAGATTACCTCTAAAGAATGATAAAGATGCTTACAGAAAGATGTCTGAAAAGCAGGTATAATTCCTGTTGAAAACTTCAAATTTTCACGTCGAAATTTTTTTGATTTTCATATAATATGATTTTCTCAATATTGATTCGTCCTCTTTCCTGTCACAGAAAGAAATAGCAGTTTGCTGATGTTCAGTCAGCAGTGAAATTAGATGTTATATATGAACACTTCAATGAATTTCAAAATTGTATAGCTCTGGTTGTCGTGGTCACCCGGTATAAAACTGAATCGATCTGAATTGATTAGACATCCTTTGATATTGACAAAAACTCACAATATCCAATTTGTTAGACCTTTCCATACTTTACGGGCCAAACTCTTTTCGTATACTGGGGCTGGTTGGAAAGTAAAATCGTGGATGAAACATTGCTCTTTCTTGACGTCAGGTGTCGCTAATATAGGATCCAAGTGAGCTAAAATCAGTTTGGCTTCTAATGCTTTGATATCTGTAAAAACATATTATAACATCATTGAGTTTATAAACTCCGTAATATAATACATCTATGTTACAATTCACATTGTGTTACAATGGAAACTGATACAAGTATACCTACACAGACTTATGGTATACCCTCCTTTCTCCTTTGTTTCTGTAGCTATATTTCTGAAATTCGAAACATCGAGGGGGCATTTTTTCACATTCTGGGATCTTTTTACATGTTTCGGTTTTTCTGGAAATCACTCCAACTTTTGATTTTCAAATGAAACACCCTGTATTTCATTACATAATCGGTCAGAGATCATTATAACAAATTCAACAATGTCGGGTTTGATTGGGTTATTTCAAACGATCACGAAGATATTCACGTTCGAAGTTCACATAAGCTCAATGGATGTGACGGCGGAATATCAAAACTTCTATTTCTGTCGTACTCATTGAGCATATGAAAACTTCGAACGCGAATATCTTTGTAATCGTTCGAAATAACCCAATCGGACCAGATATTGTTGAATTCGTTATAATAATCTCTAACCGATTATGGAATGAAATACAGGGTGTTTCATTTGAAAATCGAAAGCTGATGTAATTTCCAGGAAATCCGGAAAATGAAAGAATTTCCTGAAATGTGAATGCCCTCTAGTCAGCATATTCAATGTTCCGAATTCCAGAAATATAGCTAGAAAAACAAAGGAGTAAAGGGGGTATAACACGAGTCAGTGTCACCCGGTATGTTACTGAAAACAACTTCTCCACTTCACATTTCCTGAAGTTTTCGAAAAAACCCTAATTATTTTATAGGTTGAAAGGTTACACGTGTTTGAACTTCTTCTGATGAACCTCCAGAATGGAATCCTGTGCATGGACAGGGTGTCCCAAATTGCTTGATTTTGACAGTTGTTTCTTTTTCCATAACAGCTAGAGAAAAACTGACTAAAATTTTTTGTGGAACATCGATTGATGAAAATCGCATTTCGATATCTCTAACCGTTTTTGAGATATAGGGGAAAATTGACATTTGACCGATTTTGGAAATATGCCGTAATATTTTAATTTTTGTATATTTTTCTTTCCAATTCTTAAACGCCTAGAAATCAGTGGAAAAGAGATGGCATCTTTGTCTCGACTAAGATGGTGGACAATTCGAACATTATTTGTGATCTACCTTACTGAATTGACTCTTTCGTGAAACAAATTAATATTATTCTTATTCCGCTACTTTCTCATTCAATTTCATATTTTTCATCACATTATTCTCAAATGATTATTGAATTGAAAAAAAATCTTGCTTTCCATGGCTAACTAAGTTGAAATGTGACCAAAACTTTATTTTCAAAGAGAAATATTTTGTATAAACAGCAGATATCTTGACATATATATTTTTGAGAAGCATAGGTATTTTTTTTTTCGATTTTCTGGAGTCAGAGCCAACTATGGTTTCTATTCGGAATAACAACGTCGGCTTTGATATCAGACAATTCATATTCAATATGGCATATGGTATCTAAAAGTGCCTGTAGAAGGTTTATTTTCTCGAGAAGAGTATCCAAAAATGAGAATGAAATGGGAAAAACTGCCAGAATCAAGCCAATTGGGACACCCTGTACATTATGGAAACCTCAAACATAATGCGGATTGCACTGGTGACACTGTATATTATGTGGGTAATGTTCGATAAAAAATTGCTGCTTTTTACCTTCTTTCTCTTTCATCAATTTCTGTTCTTCAGCAGATATCTCGATAGAAACTCTTCTCATATACCGTTCTACGGGACGAAATGTGGCAACAGCAACTACGTTCAGCGTTTGCAGCAGAAAAAGCACCCCGACAAAATATCTGTGGCCCACTTTTTCTCGAACGTACGAAGCGAACGGGGGAAATATCATCATGCCAATGACGACGAAAACCTCGAAAATACCCATCATCATGTTGAGTTTCTTGTCGAAATACGCGTTCAGTACTGAGAAGCACGTCGTCATCAACATACCCAATCCAAAACCTGGAAAAAATTAAGAGTTCAATGTAATGCAATCAACCATCATTTTTGTTGTCAATCATCATGGGGAAAACCCCTAAAAAGTTACCAATCAATTTCTCATGTTCATTTTTCCACAGAAAATATGTTTGAATTACAGAAAATCATGGCTCGAATACCTTGGAAAAAGAGCTATTTTTGATGTATTCGATTAACTGGTTGAGTTGAAAAACAGCCTAGGCTGAACTTCGCCCTTCATCAATGCAATGCAATAGATTGTAGATTGTAGATTGTAGATTGTAGATTGTAGATTGTAGATGGGTCGAATAGGCTGGGAGACCTCTCGATCACTGCGACCTAGAAGATCTATTGTGATTACCCCTATCTAGTTTTGGTCCTCTAACCCTAGACTTCTGATGAAGCCTGCGATTTTCCTGACGGTTGACTTTTCCACTTCAGCAGGGTTGAGATAGACCTGTTCTAGGTGGTTCAGCCTTTGGCGGACTAATACTTCACATGAGCAAAGTATGTGCGGTTTCGGTCGCATTGTTACAAAAGCGGCAAGTGTCAGTCTCCGCCAGACCCATCTTTTTGATTTCAATTTCAAAATTGAAAACTATATGTGAGTGACTATTGTAGGTACTTACTTTTAAATCATAATGTACCAACCGGATTCCTTCGTCTCCCGCTGCATTTTTTGTGCATTGTACAACAGCACAATGTGATGGCAAGCGCGAATCAATGAATAGCCGAAAAACACGATTCGTATGCCAAAATAATTATGAAAAACTATTTCAATCTCAATCACTTGTCAACAAATGAAAAAATTGAGGTTTTCAAGTCGGGCATAAGAAGCAAGCTGGGTACATATTCAAAATTTGGTTACAGAGGGTTTAGGAAATATTTACATATAACCATCATCACTGATAGTGAACAGGAAGTGAAAATGATTATTTTTACCTTTGGAAACTGACGTGGATAGCAACATGTGGGTGAAAGTTGTGCCAAAAATGTCACCTATTCCACCGAAAAGCACCAGCATTGCTCCAACCATCCCACAAGTTCGGAAACCATATTTCCGTATCAAAGGACCTGTTGCAAATCCTAGGAAATATAATTCACGAATTAATATCAACTAGGAAAATCATTCTCTTTCTGTATTCAAGGAATAATAGATTTCTTCATCCCAGACGACTTCAAACTGACAGAAATCTGAATTATTCAACACAAAAAAAAAATCGAAAAAGTGAATCCAATTCATTCTGCCAACAAATAAACCATGCACAGAACATCGGCCGTAGATTGAATTATTCGAACTCCACCTCAATATTCTTCGTTCGATTTTGAAGAACTTCTCGTTTTCCAAGTCATGTAAAGTTACTAGCTGTACCGGAGCAAGTTATGATAGACATTTCGAACTGAAATAATTATTCTAGAAATAGTCGAGAACCTTTCATATTCCGATAGTACAGAGTTTGGAGCTATATCTATATGACGATAACTTATGGAATATCTTTATCTGGAGAACTGTAAATTTATGTACATATCTTCAGTTTACCTGAGAATAACACCATCGCGACTCCGAGTTGGACGAATAAGGTCATTTTGCTCAATTCATCTCCGAATGTGGCCAAATAAGGGCTGATATATATTCCATAGGCTGCTGATGGAGCCAACGAAACATACTGAAACGAAGAATATTACTGAAATTCATAAATATTATGTTATGTTTCGACTCCGTTCGTAATATCCTGAATGAACAATCTATTTGTATTTGCATGAATTATTTTTCTCCAATTGAGCTAATTCTGGAAATAGTGTTCTAGATATCTATTTTCCTACTATGAAACGTTATACAGGTAGGTGCAAAAAAGTAATGACTTTTCAAATGACTCAAAACACATGTAGGTGACGCCAAAAAAAAGTGTTTTGCAATTGGTCGGATAATAACGATTTTACAGGGGTGGTAAGTCCTTAAAGTGGAGACACTGTATATTTATACAAACTTTACTTCTTATTTTGACGTCAGCCATATGCTCCTGAATTTTCTACACGTACTTAAGACACACCCTGTATAAGAGGATATCATACCATCCCTAACACACACAACGTCCAAGGGACGTCCCTGTTTGGTACAATTCACGTCCGAAAAATAAGTGTTCTTGAGACGTCCTATCCCGTACATCTCATGCAATGTCCGAGCAAGGACGTCCACGGGATGTCCCAGCTGGTACATCATTTTAAATGTCCGAGAAATAGCATCCCTTAGACGTTCCACGTGGTACATATTGTAGAATGTCCATGCAAGGACGTCCTTGGCATGTCCCTGAAGGGAAATGATTTTAAACGTTCCTTCAGGGACATCCATCGGATGTCCCGAGTAGTACATATTCTGGCATGACTCCAGATCTTAAATGATGTCTCTTCTAGACAAGCATGAAATGTCCCTGATGGTACATTTCTCCAAATATCTCTGCACAGACGCCCTTAATATTTCCAGGATCGTATAACAATCGAAATATCCCTTAGGGACATCCTTCGAATGTCCCTTAGGGATATCCGTCGGATGTCCCAATCGGTACATGAACTGTACTCTTCCAATGTCCCAGAGATAACGTCCTTTGGGCGTCCCAGTCGGTACTTTCAATATGTTGTCCCTGCGAGGACGTTAACTTAGACCTCGCCGACGAATGATTGCTCGTAGGCTATAAGTACTCCTCGTCAACGTCCTTCACGTAAGTTCATTGGCATTCTTGGGAAACTGTTTGGGGACCTTCTACGGACCATCAACTCAACTGGATGTCCTAATCAGTTACGCAAGATCTGGTCCTAGAGGGACCGAGTAAAATTCGAATTCAAGGATAATTCATACGTCCCTGGGACATCCTATGGACATCCAACTGATATCCCTTAGCGTTGCTGATAGGTTGTCCTATGGATGTCCTAAGGATGTCCTCTGTAGTGCTTGATGAGCAATTCTGTAGGATTTAGGTATTTGATAGTCGTCCCAGGGACATCCCTCAAGGACGTCCCTAGTTGGTCCCCAAGTGGGACATTTGTGCGTCCCACAGACGTCCAATGGACGTCCACGGTACTAAACTCGAACGTCCTATGGACGTCCTGAATATCCTGACAGGACGTCCTAAGGATATCCATGGGACATAAGTGTGTTATCAGGGATATCAACAATTTTCCAATTTTTCTGAATATTGACTTACATGTATTACGATTGCTGATAAAGTGATGACATAACCCCATCCTCCGTCTGGAGCCACAAGTTTATATCCAAACGTTTTACAGGCTCTAACTGAAATATCCATTTCTGGCCAGCTTCAACGCGGTCCGTTTTTTGTGTGCTATCTTTTCAGTGCCGAAATGTTGATTATTTCTGGTTCATCGGCGGTTGTCAAACGACCGTGACATCGAAAAATAATAAATTTTGCCTTAAAAACAAATTCTGCTTTGTATGGAGCGAATTCATTATAAGTTGATAAATACATAGTTTCGTTCTTGAGTTATTGTAATTACCGGATGATTTCAATAATAATCGAATAATTATTAATGGCTACTATCATTTGACAGATCCGGTGCAGGTTATTTCCCGAGGGTATTGAAAAACCACCTAAAAAATTCACCCCATCTCAAAATCAAATATTTTTAAGAATACCAGTTCGATCCTGAATGATTTGTTTTATGCTGGTAGAAAAAATTCATTAGAAATGAGTGTATGAGTGAGAATAATGACTCAAGAACGAAATCATATAGTCTCCTCATCGTATAAATACTATCATTTATCTCATCATATATGGAACCAATGTTAATGTATCATTATTATATATATCATAAACAAGACACACTAATTAATCCCCACAACTGGCATATCTCAACATATTTCAGACTATCAATAGTCAATGTCCATAATCAGCATCATTTTCGAAGGAATTTTTTAAAAGGAAATGTTTCTTATAAAACCATAAGAATTGGCCTTAATTATATCATTATTATAATATTAAAATATATTCTCTCCGTATCCGAATTCATGAAGCCTCCAATAGTCACTTGATTTCAACATATCACAAGACATCAAAACAGGACTGTATACATAGCACTCTGACTCTGATATCTTCATTGATGATATTATCCTTTCTCTAGATTTTCGGGACCTTTTTCTCTACTCTATGAATGAAAATATTCCAGACTCACTTCCTGAAGGAAACTCCATGGTGGGTTCGACGATCTATTACTATTACCACTTTCTGATGTACTCATTAAAAATCAAATAACGGTTTCGTAACAAATGACCAATGTATATATCGCAAAAAGACCCTTTGCAACATACCTCAATTATAAGTGGTAATACAATGAATTGAAAGCTTATTGACATTTGGGCTCAATCATCAAAGAGTCCTGTGCCCCTATGAGGACGTACGCGATCAAGATTTGATGGCATAATCCATCTTTGGAAAAAACTGAAAGAACGGTGGAGTCCAACAATAATTACTCGAAAACAAACCTACATCATCAGATGATGGAGGACAAGTGGCGTTCATAGCAATCCACAAAACGTAAGTTCTGTGATGACAAGACACATATGACAGTGACGAATGTCAACTGTCCGTAGATACAGATTAATGGACGACCAGATGCACCACTCGACCAAAAATAATGAGAAGATACCTAGGTATATATATTTGAATGAACATAAAGGCGGGTAGTAGAGACCAAAGCAGGGGCACAGGACCCCTTTACAATTAACTTGACCCTGAATGATTTTGTGTTGTCTAACCCTTTCATTACTACGCTCCACTTAGGGAGAAGTTACATACATACAACATATGGGGGTAGTATGCGTCAGATCCGGTAGTTCTGATTTTTTGCAGACTTGTTCATGATATTGGCCTTATGAATGATCCAAGTTTGTGACCTCGAGCAACGAACGCAAATCTGTCAAGATTCGAAAAAACCGCGAAAAAATCGTAATTTTTCCAAATTTTGGCGATTATAACCCTGAAGGACTAGTTT